GTTTACATACCAACTGTTTCTGTATCCAAGCATAAATACAAGGACGCTATACATAATACCACGCTGAAACTGACAAACAATTGTACAAAGACTTATACAAACAAGAATTGACAATACACTACATGTATAAAATGAAACTACTGAATTTTATAATGCACAATGTCAACCATATACAACTAAATTATCTATAAACATGTATGTATGACATAACACTTATTCTTATTCGTTTTTGTCATAATCTATGAAAGCGTTAAACGTTCTTAAATTCATGATTTAAATTTTCATTGGTAGAGAAAGACTTTAAAATCAAGTGTTCCCTCTAACATGGACTTTGTCGGGATTCTGAGTCAAAATAGAATCCCCCAAGTTGAATCGGTTTGTTGACTGCTTAGAAATGTGTTAAGAGTAAAATATAAAATTGTAGATGACTGTATAGGTGACTTGTGGCCCCTGCTTTCTTTTGTTTTTAAACTTATTTTGTTTATAATTCCAAATTTGATTCTACCAAATTTCAAATTCATATTTTCAAGACCACTATACATCAAGGTACAATTTCCTGATGCGTCAGTGACACACCAGTCTTCATACAGTTTGTATAGTTTTTGTGTAAATATTGTACTTATGTGTTGTATTGTGTAGCTTGCATGGAAACCAACACTCCAAATATCGACCGGTGTGAGACATAGTATAGTGATAGAACCATCAATGAATTAAAGTGTTTGACAATTTAGCCTACCGTACATGTGCATACACGTCCAACTAAAACCGGAAAGACTAATTATACCTGAGACAATAGCCTGTCCTCATATGTATACGTATCCTGCGATGATTCAATATAAAAACACCACTGTAGTTGTGCAGTATGCAGGTTTGAATTTTATGGAAGAAATAACATTAAAACAGGGGAGTCGTAACCTTCGCATGCGTCATATGGCCATAGCGTCACGTTATTGTTTACAAACAAGCGTCTACCCATGAGCCTTTGTATTTTTAGTGTGTGTTGTTATCGTCGCTTGGGACCTAATCCCTGCGTGTGCGCAGGTGACAACCCCCCTCCCCCCGCTTTGAAAAGTCGATATAATTAAATATGAGAATATGGCTGACAACTGTGGTACTTAAAATAAAACCTACAACCTTATCCAAACTTGAGCAAGTACATAGGAAACGGTGTGGCTCATCAAAGAACAGTTAAGCCATAGCAACCAGTATTTAAAGGGCCAATAAATTGGTACACATTTACAGGTAAGCTGGTAAAAACGAGGCTTATGATCATGAGCTAAACAATATATAGACATCTGAGATTTATTTGACCTGGGTACACAGCATAGACGAGACACATACATAACAAAATTCTAAAACCAACAAAAACCTGCTTTTGCTCTTATGTGCTAAAAAAAAAAATTAAGACTGCCTCACAACATAGCGCATGTACATTATGATCTCCAGCAATATCAACTGTAAATACCTAATCTCTAGCTTTAACTGTCAGTGCATTGGAATGAAATGTGGCGTATGTGTGCCATGCTATATAAATTAAGGTTAAAAAACAACCAGGGAACAGTATAACAATAGACAATGACAGAAAATTGTGATGTGTATGTCCAGTTCTGATGGCAGCACCCCTTTAATTTCTTTTATGTTAAATAAATTAGGTGACTCGTAACTTTAAAGCGCGAGGGCTGTCACCTGCGTACACGCGGGAATTGACTCACAAGTGACGATAACAACACACACTAAAGACACATGCGCAGGTGACGACTCCCTCGCTTTAAGTTCAGATCTTGTCTACTGTTTTTGCTTTATACATGTAAGTAGAGAATGTGCTTACGTGTTTAGGTGTTTCTATTTGTCAAAATATATAATATTTTAATGATTACATGTATACATACAAAAATCTGATTTTCATTTGGAGACAGACTTCTAAATAGAGCAATTATGGTATTAACTTTTCGGTTGGTTAATAACTGACTTGATCTATCAGGTCAAAAAAACAAAGTTGTAGGTCAAATTTTACAGGGAAATTCAGAAATATAAAGGTATACTCTCGCATCGAGTGTGCACTTCTATGCGACAGTACACTCCTGACTGAAAACACTCACAATGAAATGAAGTTGAATGTTTACACAAGCATTTCATAGCAAATCAACATTTTGAGTTTATGTAATTATAATCTGTCTGAGTAATAGGATAAAATTACGGGCTCCAACTGTCACCTGACTAAATTAGAATCCTTATACGCACACATAATAATTAGGTTAAACCGTTTTAATAATAATAATAATAATAACTTTATTACACTACCAAGCGGGATCAGTATGGTAAATAAAAAGTATTACAAGACTAGGACAATTCTAAATACAATACAAGACAATAATAGAAAACACAATAATAGAAAATAAGAATAAAATAAAGACAGAGTTAAAAAATAAATGTTAAAAACAATTACTAGAATGAATACAATTAAAACAAAAACTGATCTAAATAAATTACTAGTAATTTAGTCCCACCAACCCCACTCCCATAGGTGCAGTGATTAAAAATGGTTTTTTTTAATGATTAAAATGACAACCAGCAAAATAAATATGTGAAATCTAAAAGGTAAGTTGTATATCACTATTAACACTAGTATTAATAAATCTATGTACATCACAGAATAAAAAAATCATTTTGCAATAGCAGTATTCACGTTTAGTCAAGCAATCTCCGGAGGTTTAATACATATGTGTATGCACAGTCCCTCTGAGGGACTGTGGTGTATGTATGTATGCTTGTCACAGACCCCGGGTCACAGAGCTGTTCGAGTAAGCGTGTATTTGTTTTAACAAGGTCGCACACAAACGTGTTTACGCTGCTACCCACCGATACGACAATGTCGGTGTAAAGACAGCGCGGTTTCGTAGATATGCCATTTGTGTGTCGATAGACGATGATCATAGCTCCCAGCATTACATAGAGCCAGCGCCACAATCACAGCAACACAGTTACAAGCAATGTGTGTATGTGTTATTTATAACAGACGGTCCAGACGTACAACCGTTTAGACAGCTGTGAATTGGATAACTACGATAAACGAACACCTACCTGATTGACTAAAATACTTTAAGTACTTGGTGTATCACATTAATAATATCATTTCATGGACGGATACAACGTGAATCAACCAAACACGTACGAGTAGACAGTTTTGGTATATCGCACCTTTCTAACGTCGCCTTCGATTATGCAAAACAGTAGCTCATTTGCATTGTTGCCATACGCACGTAAATAACACTGTAAACTTAGTCTTTTCTCACTATTCAGAACAACAATAGCCACTATGGAAGATAAAGTGACTGCCAAAACATATACGTAAATATAATAATGTTTCTAAAGGGTAGATTTATGTGAAAATGTCGCCGGATTCGGAAAATCATTTGACAACCTACTCGGAACATGTCGGACATCTTCGGCAAATGACGGAGGTAATATGACTACGCAGCTCACGAATACCATGACGTCATAGGTCACCATTTTAAGTACAGTGAACTTGCTTTCAAGTTTTTCCGCATTCTGAAACTTCTGCGTCACTGCTTTCTTAGATCGGTACATGAGTCGCAAAAAGAAAAAAGAAAATATACTGACATACTGAAGTCAGAACTGTACGCATTGAATTATATCGTTTGTGAGGTCATTGCCCTTTCTTCTTGCCCCCCCCCGATTTTCGACCATTTTAGCAAAATTTAAGCTATATTTAGGAAAAACAACATTTTTTTTTATCAAAAAGCGCCATCAACGTTGATCTTTCCATTGTTTTTAGCTGAACAAAATAAAATATTTGTTTACACGTGAAACATTCATTCAGTTTTGAAATAAGGAATATCTAGCGATAATTTTAGAGGAAAAATAAAATTACATATTATGCATTTCAAACACTTCCTAAATCCTCTTAGCGGCAATATTTCGACATTAAAGCGGGGGAGTCGTCACCTGCGCATGCGTCAGATGGTCATAGCGTGTCATTGTTTACAAACAAGCGTCTATCCATGCGCCTTTGCGTTTTTAGCGTGTGTTGTTATCATCGCTTGGGACTCAATTCCCGCGCGTGCGCAGGTGGCGACCCTCTCGCTTTAAATACAGATATATGCTGTAAGAATGATTTTTTTCCTGATAGAACTTATCCATCGACATTAAGATCGTTAAGATCGTCATGCATCCGTGAGTTCGTCACAGTGTATCCGTGCTCCGTATATTTCTTCACAATGAGATATATAGACCGTAACATTGTGTCTATTACAAAATAGTTTTCGTCTATTTTCATGTCCTTAGAGCATTCTATAATTATCTGTTATCTTCACATCTTCTATTGAGTCCATGTACGGCTTTCGCAATAATAACAACAAGAAAAGTAACGGGAAAAAATTAAATTCACGCCACTTCGCCCACTATACAAAAGGGAACATTCACAAAAATATTTCGCGGGCAGTGGAATACCAGAAATCTCAAAAAATCTTGGGGGGGTGGCAAACAAATCAAACACATAAAGAGGTGTTCAAAAATACTCTGGTAGTAACAACTTTCTCTTTAATGTAAATTAGACAGTCAGACTTTCTAGACTCGTAAAATACATTTTGTCTTGAATATAATATTTTAAGGTACACCACTCGTTGGCTGCACCCGTTAACACATCAATACAGAATGGGGAAAATATGCAAATGCACGTTTCGAAGGCATTTTGTTTCACCGAGATATGTGATTGACGAGACGGGCATGTGTCACATACGTGTGCAATAAACTGTTGACTGGATATTGTCGTGATGTCATCTGTTACGCATAATACTGTATGGTCTCATTGAGCAGAACTTTTTCAACGACAGGTGTGTATATTAGCGTGGTTGCTGACGTAGTGGTTACCACAGTCCAAGAACTTGAACGAGGAGGTCGATAACGCCTACATTACTGTAAGTTCTTGCACACTGTCGCTTTTCCAGAATTTTTGTTTTTTTACCTCAGATTTCGTTAAAGGGAGTGTAAAGACTGGAAAGTATTATGCAAATTAGTTAATCATTATGCAAGTATCAAATCAACAATTATAATCAGGCCTGTTCAACATCCAAGAGTGAAACAGACACGTATACACACATAATCTCAATGTTTGCTTTGCACGAGAAAGAGATGACATGATCGCAAATTAATTCACAAAAAAGAGTCAATAAATTCGATATATTGTGTGAAGTATAATACAATTGCTGTTCACATCAAATTGTTATATAAACTGTTTACAAGCTTCGTTTTCACATAAAAATATACAAAATGCTAACAATATTCATCACAAATTTAATGTATTTCTCAAGTTTTTGTAAAAATAGTCCTTTATATTCAAAATACTAAGTATTAGATTATTAACATTATTTAGGTATAAATAGTATATTTACCAATTACATGACATGCAAATTGGGTGGCCCTCCTTTGATTATTAGTTTTTCTTCAAGATGTTATTTGATTATTTTCATAAAAAGACAATACATTGATTAATGGCGGACGGATATTATGGTTACTGTTAAAATCTTGAATTGTTTACTACATAACTGGTTTGTCAGTGTTCAGTCTTCTGACGGATTCTGGACTGCGAAGTGGTAACAGTTCACACATTTCATTGCCACAATTAGTTCTTACTCCTGATTGGTTGCAAGTCTTGTTTGTCATGTAGAGAACCAATGGCAAGGATTGTTTCAAATGTTACGCCTTTGATGACTTTGGAGAGCATTCTCCCTAAAAGATACAAATAAATGATGCATAGGGTAAGAAAATAAAACAAACATGTACCTGTAAACAACTTGATTTTTCATTAGACTGCTTGATTTTCAGGTTAAATGAGAATAAAAATGAGAACATATATGTATTTCTCTCATTTATATAAATTTTGTGAAATAATTTATGACAGAAGTAGGCTGTGAATTTGTTTATAAACGAGAGAACACGAATTGGCAAAGCAACACGGTGTTTTATAAACATGTTATATTTTGTATAAATAATAGAAACATAAAGATACATATAATTCAAATAGATGTAGTCGTCGCGCTGCACATGTGCGACATTTGTTTTGTTAAGAATTGATTTTCTTTTCTGACGGAAATCGCGAGTACGAGTTTTGACCCGAGCGCAACGTGCGCTAATTACCACCGGTGACTACTGATAACTTCCAATCACCAAAGAAATTACACAGCTAAAGCATAGTAACGCCTCAGTTTGTATTCGCTGGTATACAGTCAAGGTCTTTGTTCATATGTGTCCCATATCTCACACATGCGTGGCGCGACGACAACCGCGATTTAATACGACATTGTAAAAGTAATAAATGATAAGGGTAGCAGTTTAATATTTGTTTTAACCCCAAACATATGACCAATTAGAACAGATAATTGACAATAAAGTAGCCAGATAAGTATAAACATAATTTAAATATCAATATAATCAGTATTTCGAGATGTATGTAGTTTGTTACCAAAATGACAAAATACATTCCCCTTTCCGCAAATCTACCACGACATAGCAAGTTTTAGCTAATAGATTTTAATGGAAAACATCAAAAAAAAAACATTATTGATAATAAGAAAAACGTATCGTTGGATAATAACACACCTGGTGAATATCAAGTTCATAAGATATTTTCTCCTTTCCATCCGAAGATTGTCTATGCAGTAAGTACTCTTCCTGTGCATGTCGTTTCTTTCTTTTTTGTGCACTCTCTCCTCTGTATTTCTTGAGTCTACAAATTTAAAAGCGTTTCATTACTACAATACCAGGAATACGATATTCTAAGCATACCAGACACGTGCTCCAAGAATCATTGAACAAAATGTTACATTTGTACTAATGGGTTTAATAGTTGAAACCAGACACGATCATGTAAATAATATGGTAGATTTCTACTCTCATCATGTTTCATGCATTTCAATATGTAAATTAGTGTCGGTTGAATATTCAAATCAGGATGAAAGAAACAGTTGTTCTACTTAATTTATTGATAAGTGACCAATTAATTGCAAAAATGTGCAAGTTTGTTTAGTATGAAAATTAGTAATTTATCAGTTGAAGAATTCTTTTATTTCCTGAAATACGGGCTGCCCTACAATCCCACACCCTCTCTGAATATATAAAATGTATGAATATGCCAGTTTAGGCCAGTGTTTTGTTGAATATGCAAATAAGTGACCGGTTCATTGAATAGGCAAAGAAAAACAAAAATAACGGTCAATTTAATATGCACATTGATAAAAAAATATGCAAATAGACGAATGGTTGAATTTTCAAATTAACTTCAATTTTGCTTGTAAGGATTTATTTAACAATAATAAAATCCACACAAGATAATGAAAACATATAAAAATACGGATTTAATGAATTTCGTGGGTATATGGTTAGTTCAAAGGGGCATTTGGATTACACTGCTATAGACTCACTTCGCTTTCTCTGCAGATGCCGATGGGGATTTCTCTTTAATAGAGCCAGGTATTGGTGGAAAATCCTCCATAATACTGAACCGGTTAGTGCCAGGTTCCAGCAATGAATCTGGAAGAACAGAAGACGACCTGCTGTAGTGTTGTGGGGAGTTACCTCTGGTACGCAAAGAACTGATAAGAAATAGAAAATTGTTTGAAGGTATGGTATCCCAGGGATGTTATGTTCATACAATACTTTGAACAGAAATATATATCATGAAATGAATAAATCAAATAGAGATCTAATAAAGGCAACAACATATCATGTTTCAAATAATTAGGTGGGTGGTTTTCAAAAATAAGTTCAAAATGACTTTATATTAACAGTTACCTTTCATTATCAGCAGCCATCAACTGAGCTGTGTATATACGTTGTAATGTTTGTAGTCTTGGGTCGTCGGCAGTACTGATTGGTCTATGTGATCTACTCATACCAAGGTAATCATCATCTCCATCTTCCTCATCATCATCATCATTACCCCTCGGATCAAAGTTGCCTCCACGACCAGTTTGGTTACCCGGATCCTCTCGGGTGAAACTGTCACCAACACTACCGCCTCTACCACCTATTAACATGTATTTTGATTAAAACAAGATATATCTGATATTTTATTTGCGTGACTAATATCATAATTAACTCATTGAACGTCATTAGGTCTGCCAAATTGCCTTGTAATTGCCAATAGAACTATGTCGCAAATGGCCATCTAAGTTTCGATAAGTATGAGAGACTTTTTATGCCCCACAAATTTGTGTTCCATTCACCAATGTCCAACGAGAGAAACGTAATTTTTTGAAACTTTACTCAAATTGATCTAAATACCATGGAGATCATGGATGAGATGATGGGGAAGATTATAACACAATTTGAAGGGCAAAAACAAGTATAAAGGTTTTCTCGCTCTCACCAAGATGTCGACAGCTGTATATTTGCATCTAAGTTCTATTGACTACAGGTTTTAGTCAACATGGAAAAATGCATTAAGTATGGTTATCTTGTAGAATGTGACACATGATTATTGTTAAACCACAGGAAGATTAATTGTTGGTGTTATGTTTGTAATATGTTGGTGATAATGTCTCTAACTGCCACACACCATATGCATTTAGATGATTATACTGAGAGATGTTACTTTTTAAAAATAAAAATCACATGTTTCACCTCTTCTCAAGAGTTCGTTCAAAATTTTCAAAATATTCTGAACATCTTTCTTGGTATCATCATACTGCATTTCGTGTGCTTTCTTCAAGTCCTCCAAATCTGCTTTCAAACTTCGCACTTCATCGTTGAGGCTGTTCGTACCAGGTGTGTTTGTAACAATAGCTGTTCTAAGGGCTTCACTCATTTCATCAAGATCATCCTGAAATCGAATCATATCAATCGATCAATTTTAAAGTTTTTGATATTTTGATACATTTTGTATAACTATGAAGCACTGCTGACAAAACCTCAGTCAATCTACTCGTTTCATTGTCGTTACCCCAAGAAATATAACCACACCAAATAGTTATGCCATGTTCTTTGAACATTGAAACATTTACTCAGCTAGACTTAAGATAACTTAAAGCTAGGTTACAATGCAACTTGCAATCAAAATTTACTCAGTTGTTTGAAATGAGTGTCTCACCAAATGTCCACCCTTGAATTCTAAAAATCTCGCCGAGGTTCGAGCGGTAAATCGGTTCAAAATAGCATCAAGTTTAAAGTCTGAAATATCGTCTGTACAGCACAGTTCGGCAAAAATGATACATTTTTCTTGTATTTGGTTGAGGTTCCGCCTACTACATTGTTACCAGCCTTATTAGCACACAACACAAAAATGGTTCAGGGTGAACATGCTATTTAAGAACTGGACAGTCGCCAATAAGATCAAGTGAGAAACCAGTCCGGCAAGTGTCTCAAGATAAATATTTGACAAATAAAACAAAAAGGCTACCAATCGATATTTACACATTGATAACCCTTACCCTACCATCCTTATGTACTTATACACTAACTTGACCAGATAAAGGTGGTCAGGTGGTCTTTTTGTTAAAACCAATTTGATGTTTTTAAGTACTGTATGTATTTCAGTTGTCTTAACAATTGTATGAAAATTTGAATAACATAAGTAAAACCAAGAAAATAGATACACATTGTGTAAATAAACAAAAATAACAACATATAAAATAGGGAAATTAATAAAAACAAATTGGAACTATACACTATACATTTGATGTTAATCAGATTGCCCATGGTCATACATTTTGGTACATACACAACTAAACATTTAGCTAGACTAAGATAGCTTAAAGCTAGGTTACAATGTAGCTTGCAATCAAAACTATCACTTATCTAAATTGTGTCATCTGCCTAAATATGTCTCATATTAGTATCATATGTAATACTACAAAGA